AGACTCGGGCAGCTGGGCCCTCCCTGGGCTCAGGCCGGGTGGGCGGGACTGGCCTCCAGCAGCCTGTCTGGCTCGGGAATAACTGGCTTTGCAGCCTTGCCCTGGAGCGCAGTCCCTCCCCGGGCGGCGGGCTGGGAGCCGGCTTTTCCATGGCACCTGCCTGGCAATGCCGTCTCTCTTCCCTGGAGAGGAAGCGGGCAAGGCCGCCAGGAGGGGAGATGGGATTATAGGGTTAAACAAGGAGAAAGAGAAGGAAAGCAGTGACCTGGGTATTTTGGGGGATGGGGTGGCGTTAAGAAAAGAGAAAGGAGACCGGCTGGTGTGGCTCAGTGGTTGAGCGTCGGCCTACGAGCCAGGAGGTCACAGTTCGATTCCCGGTCAGGCACGTGCCCGGGTTGTGGGCTTGATCTGTGTGTGTGTGTGTGTGTGTGGGGGGGGTGGCCACATGCAGGAGGCAGCCGATCAGCGATTCTCTCATCATTGATGTTTCTATCTTTCTCTCCCTCTGCCTTCCTCTCTGAAATCAATAAAAATACATTTTGGAACAAAAATGAAAAGAGAAAGGAAAAAAAATCCACATCCACGTGTCAACCTCCAACCACACTACCACTCAGACCCACAGGAGCCCGGCGCCAGAACCAGGCCATCCTCCCAGGAAGCCCACGGAGACTCGCAGCCCACACCCTTCTCAGGGAAGCGGCCGCGTCCCTGCCCGGCCGGCGGGTCGAGACGGGTCGCCGTGTGAAGATGACTGACCGTTACTGAGCGCGGTGCCGCCCCCGCTGGCCTTCTGCGCGGCACAGAGAGAGCTATGCTCCCACTTCACAGCTGGGCAGACTGAGGTTAGATCCCGTGCCGAGGTCCCACCAGGGGCCTCGCTCTCACTGCCCGAGCGACCACGGTCCCCAAACGGCAGGCTGGGCTCTCTCGGGCGCCGGCGAGAAAGTACCTGGCAGAAGCTGCGCCAGGTCCCTCACGCGGCTGGTGGGGGCCTCGCTCAGGGCTGAGACGTAGAGCTTGGTCAAGGTCTCGGACTGGAAGAGCTGGGGCAGGTGCAGCTCCCACTGGAAGCCCAGGCACTCGAGCGTCACAACTGGGGGGAGAGCAAGGAGCAGAGCTCA